GCAGGAATTTAAACGTCTTGATCCAATGTGTGACTTACTACTCTTTTCTCATATTTTCAGTTGATAAAACGACGACTTAGAATTTGGTTTTCCTGTATTCTGATCATTAACACTGCTGTTTACCTATAATATTTACTGAAAGCCTGTATAAACTCTGTCTTGTCAGTTTGCCCCGTTGACTTGCTTCCTGTACCAATGTAATCCACCCCCTCTGGTCTCACTGCTTCCTGTGTTTGCTGCCCTCGTTGTGGTGCATCCTGTGTGCGTGTACCTGGGCAGTCCTTGCCAGCTCTCGGCTTCTAGTAGGTGGTCAGGCTGTGTAGGGTCCTCAGTGGGCTGCCGTGAGGCTTGTTAGGTTTCTAGTAAGGAAGGAAGTGTCACTTAACATCGCAGTTCATCGACAGAGAAAAGGCTGGTGCTTCGTGGTGGGGAGGGGCTGTGCGGGTCGAGGAGTGTGCGTTTTGGAGACGAGAATCAGAGGTACAGGGGGAGAAGGGAGCGTGCAGTGATCACTTGCAAGACTGATGACGGTGGTGCCATTTCTTGACAGCATCTTAACATTAACATGAGAAGAAAAATCCCATGAATCAGTGGAACTTCTGTGTGATATTAACATTACTTCCATATTTTCCAGTTGTATGTGAGGGAATTTGATTTATAGAAACAAACGTACGGCAAAGCCCTGCTTATATTTTTTTCTAGTCCATGTGTATTTCTCTTATTTTCTGGGCTGGATTCTAAATGTTGTCAGGAAGCTGGTCCGTGCCTGGTCCGTGCCTGGTCCGTGTCTGGCATTGGACACGTGGTAGTACACATATAGTAGCACCAAAATACTGAATTAGTCATTGAAACTCTTAACTTCACATTGTGAATTACACTTCAGCCTATCAGTAAGTAATCAAGGTAATTAGGTATTTTTTGTCTATAAAATTTAACGTGTATCAGAATGGTGCATTGGCTAGTGCCATTAGGTAACCACGGCTTATTTCTTTTTCTTTTCATGTTGTGAAGAAGAAAGAAGATTGGATATAGACGAGAAACCCCTTGTTGTGCAGTTGAATTGGAATAAGGATGATCGAGAGGGCAGATTTGTTCTTAAGAATGAGAACGATGCCATTCCT